ATAATAAAGCACGTTTCTTTTTTCGGTCTTTTTGAGAAAGGGTTTCCCTGTAGCCCCAGCTGACCTGGAACTCACTATGTAGACCAGGCTGTCCTTGAACTCACAGAGATCCACCTGCCTCTGACTCCCAAGTGCTGGGACTTAAGGCGTGTACTACTATGCCCAGCTATAAAGCATTCTTTAGATATTTAAAAAAAAAAAAAAAAAAAAAGATGAAGCTGAGTGACCAGATGAAAACCTTCAAAATCTACATCCAACTGCACAGTAACAGGGCTGCAAGCATTCTCTTTGGGATTGTTAGTAATACAAGAATGCCCACTAAACCCCTTCTACTCAGTACTGTGTGGGGGAGGGGGGTTCTAATGAGCATAGTACAACCCTCTTGCGCCAAAAACTTGTAATTAATTTTTAAAAGCATAAAAGAAAGAAACAAAAGTTGCCATTATTTGCAGGTGATAAAATTATAGAACCTTTTAAAGAATTAGAGTACAAATTATCAGAAGTAACAAGCAAGTTAAGCAAGATGAATGGACAGCTAACTCAGATACAAAAGCCACCTGCATCATCAGGAACAAAACAAAGAGAGATGATCCCAAAATACATCCAATTGGCATTGGCAAGATTTTTACCAAAATTCACAGGAATTGTATACTTAAAGCACAAGCATTTTATGGCATACTAAATATATCTCCAAAAAGCTGTAGGAAAAAAAACAGACACTATTTCTAATAGTAACAAAAACTATAGAGTGCAGCCAGGCATGCTGGTACACACCTTAGGTACCAGCACTTGGAAGGAAGAGGCAGGTGGATCTCTGTGAGTTCAAGGCCAGTTTGGTCTACATAGTGAGTTCTACGACAGCTGGTGCTACAAGGAGACCCTGTTTCAAAAAAAAGACCACCACCACCAACAACAAAAAAACCTACAAACAAACAACAACAACAACAACAAAAAAACATGTAGGATGCATAGGCATTAATCTAGCCAGCTTTAATCCCAGCACTCAGGAGGCTAAGGCCAGAACATCTCAAGTTCAAGGCCAGCCTGGCTACACAGTGAGTTTAAGGTCAGCTTGGTCTATATAGTGAGATGTAATCTTGAAACAAAACAAAAAAAGAAAAAGAAAAAAAAATCAACAAAGAAATTAATCTAACATATACAAGACATTTTCTAGGTCAAAACTTAAAGGCATTAAAAGATATTTAAGGGCTGGAGAGATGGCTTAGCAGTTAAGAACACTGACTGTTCTTGCCAAAGACCCGGGTTTGAATCCCAGCACATGAGCGCTGATAACTATCCGTAACTCCAGTTCCAGGGGATCTGACAGCCTCTTCTGTCCTCCATGGGCATTGCATGACACAGATGCATTTACCTATATGCAGGCAATACATGCATACACATAAAATAAAAATAAATAAAATATTAAAAAAAAACACCACCAAAAACCAGGATAGCTTTAGTGTCGACTTGACACACCTGGGTTGAGGGAGCCTCAACTGCGGAATTACCTCCATAGGACTGGCCTGTGACCATGTCTGTGGGGCATCTTCTTGATTGATGAGAGATAAGGGAGAGCCCAGTCCACTGTGGATGGTGCCACCCCTGGGCAAGTAGGCCTGTGTTGCATAAGAAAGCAAGCTGAGCAGGGGCCAGGGGAGCAAGCCAGTAAGCAGCATTCCTCCATGGCCTGTGCTCCAGCTCCTGCCTGCAGGTTCCTGCCTTGAGTTCCTACCTTGGGCTCACTGATGAACTGTGACCCAGAAGATGTAAGATAAATAAACCCTTTCCTCCCCAAGTTGGTATTGGTCAGAGTATTTTGTCACAGCAATGGAGAAACAAACTAGAACAAAAAGATAAAGAAGAGGGAAGGTACTTCTGAAAAACATTATTAAATTCTCTATCATAATTACGGTGATACTGGCAAAGGGACAATTTGACCAAAGGAACAAAAAATTCCAGAGATCAGTCTGTGCACATATGGAAATAATTTTTTTCTCATTCATTTATTTTGCAGTGCTAGTGATTGAATCCAGGACCTTGTGCATGCTCTGCAGGTGCTCTAGCATTCAACTACATCATGAGCCCTGGAAGCTTTAATTCTGATAAATGGTATCAGCAGTAGGTCAGCAGGGAAATGAATGATTATGCAAAAATAAAAAAGGTTAAGATTGAGTCTACGTTATACCATATTGAAAAGCCCATTCCAGATGAATTAAAGACATATGTAAAGCTGGGTGTGGTGGTGCACACCTTTCATCCCAGCACTTGGGAGGCAGAGGCAGGCAGATCTCTGTGAGTTCAAGGCCAGCCTGGTCTACATAGTGAGTTCCAGGGCAGCTGGGGCTACAGGGAGACCTTGTCTCAAAAAGACAAAAAAAAAAAAGAAAGACGTTTGTAAAAGAGACAGCTTCTCTACTTAAAGAAGCATGAGTAAGCATGAGTGCAGGGCTGGAGAGATGGCTCAGCAGTTAAGAACAGTGACTATTCTTGCAGAAGACTGGGATTTGAATCCCAGCACCCACATGGCAGCTAACAACTGTCCCAACTCCAGTTCCAGGGGATCCGACAGCCTCTTCTGTCCTCTGCAGGCATTGCATGACATAGGTGCACTTACCTACACGCAGGCAATACATGCATACATATAAAATAAAAATAAATAAAGAAGGGGTTGGGGATTTAGTCAGTGGTAGAGTGTTTGCCTAGCAAGCGCAAGGCCCTGGGTTCGGTTCTCAGCTCTGAAAAAAAATAATAATAATAACGAAAATATTTGTAAAAAAAGCATGACAGTAGCAGGGATATCGCGGTAGAAGGGCTCTAGTGGGGGGAGGCGTCTATGGGAGGCTGCTATCTGGGAAGTGGGTGTGGAAAAAAAAAAGAAAAATTTATTAAGGCAACAGAGTAAAGTTTTAGAAGTTATTAATACTTATTTGTGAAATACATGGATTTCCTCCAATATAAGATTCTTTATATTAAAAAAAAAAAAAAAAAGAGCATGAGTGCACTGAAGAATGATCATTGTATTGAACTGAGTTGCCTTTTTTGGTTCTATGTCCTTAAATTTAAGAAGAGCATACTGAAGCAACCTAACTATCCCTCAAATGACAAGTAGATAATGAAAATGTGGTACATTTACACAATGGAGTTCTACTTAGTGGTAAAGAAAGACAAAATTATGAAATTTGCAAGTAAATGGATGGATGGAAATAGAAACTGTTATACTAAGTGAAGTAAAATGGACTGGGAAAAGCAAATGATGTATGTTCTCCTTCATTTGTGGATCCTAGCACCAAATCCTTGTATGTGAATATATATCCTGAGGTAACTGCAGGAACCAGGAAAATGGAAAGCAACTGAGGAGGTAAAAGGAAAGAAGGAACCTGAGAGAGAAAAACAGTAGGAGATAGATATAACTAAGGGAGAAATGGGTAAAATAGGGGTATTTAAATGGTTGGGGAGGAGAGGGAGGCATATACAAGGAACTATGGCAGAGAAGGAGCTCAAGAGAATTGGAACCATAGGAGACTGGTATTCTCAAGGGAGAAATGGGGAAAATGGGGATACTTTAAATGGGGAGGGGTAGAGGGAGGGAGGGAGGGGAAAAGAGAGATAAATAATGCCTAGCTAGTGTAAAAAACCAGAGGGAGGGGTTGGGGATTTAGCCCAGTGGTAGAGCGCTTGCCTAACAAGCACAAGGCCCTGGGTTTGGTCCTCAGCTCCAAAAAAAAAAAAAAAAAAAAAGACAAAAAATCCCAGAGGGAATCATATTAGTTCAAAAACGTACTGACAAATTACACATATAGTATCTCTGCATGAGTCCATATGTATAGCTGAAGGTTACAGAACAATAAACAGTGCCAGACAGGAGAAACTTTCCTTTGAATTGTTGGCCAGGGTAGTTCAAGAGACTCCCAAAATTATACAGCCTATTGCCACAACTGGTCACACATACATTGTCTTGAATTGCCCAAGCCTAAGTTTTACATCTATAATGCGACCTTTACATCTAAGGCTTACAGAACATAGAACAAGAGGTAAAGAGGACACTAATGCATCTCTCAACTCTTATCAATGAAACTCCCTCATGCAACAGAGGGTCAGGAACACAAAAGGTCACAAATGGCTAAAGCGTAAAGAATAAGATTCTACAGAATTCAGGTCCTTGGACAGGACTCCTATATTAAACTCCACCCAGGGCTCAAGGTCCATTGTGGATGATGAGGAGGAAAGATTGTAAGAGCCTGGGAAGTGGTTGCAGTACTATATGTAAACAGAGTCTTACAAGGTCCTGGGACCTTGCTCATATAAACCTACATCAATGGTGTCTGCAGGCACAAGACCTATGCAAACTCAAGCAGACAAAACAGCAGCCCAGAACTGTGGAAATGAGCAATAAGCTCCAATCTTAGTCAAAGGATTATTGGCAGCTGATTTTAGCTGGGTGAGGAAGAGTTGATCTTCTTAAAGGGAGAGACTCTAGATAGGCTAACTAGACCCCAGTGGGTGAACTTGTACTGAGCGACATCTGGGGACACTAATGACACAAAAGGCCTTAAATGACAGTGAGGGGGAGGGACTATGGGAGGGTGCAATAGGGAAGGGGATATAAAGAAAATTAAGATGTTCTGCATGAAATACACAAAAATTCAATAAAAATTTATAAAATATTAAAAAATAAAGCATGCCTGAATAAATAAGAGCATATTGAATTGATTTTTATTCCCATATCATATAAATATCTAAGGTAAGTCCCTGTGGATTTTGCTGTCATAGAGAAGAAATGAAGGGTACTAATGAAGGACACACAATAGTGACAGGCAACCCAATTCAGTGCCACAATAGTTTCTCTTCGTGTTTCTTGAGACTGCTATGCTATGTTGGCTTCAGGAATGCAGAATAGGTTTATATGTAGATATTTATGATGATATAACGAAACCAGAACTTGAAGTCAGAGCTCTTCATCAGAAAGCCCCACTGCAGCATGGCCCATCCAGTATACTTACACTATATGTGCAAGGTCAAGTGGTTTCTCTGGTTGTTCAGGAAAAACAGGATGTGGGGGTTCTCTGGAGGGTACACACCCCAGTGATTTACTAATTGCATGGCTCAGCTTCTTTGCAGGGGATTTCTGTGTCAAAGGAGAGAGAGAATAAGGAAATAAGAGCTCTTCAAAAGAACTTGGAGACAAGTGTGCAAAAAACATCTTTTCAAGTACAAACCAAATTTCACTGTATTTACCATTACTTGGCCTGTGGAAGGAACCAGCAGTAGTCCCAATATCCTTTATGGTTTCTATTTCTGTGGTTCCTCCCTTGATTCTACTATATAGTCATATTACCAAATTAGGGGTGAAGGAGATAGGTCTGTTGGTACAATGTAATGCTAACTTTCCTTTTGGACATTGCGTATCAAGAATTCTCTCTTTTGAGGTTTCTGGATCATTTCTATTAAGATGTTAGAATAATTCCCTATTAGTGTTAAAACCTTTAGATGATACAAAAAGTCTAAGATAATGCAAAGAGTACATGGATTGTGGATGTTAAGCAAATTAACTTACTAAGCAATATCCCTTAGCACCAGGATATTCCCAAATAAAAATGAGACTGGCCAAGTGTGGTACTGTACACCTGTAATTCCAACACTAAGGAAGTGGAGGCAGGAAGATCAGGTGTTCACAGTCATCCACAGCTACTCATTGAATTTGAGGCCAGCCTGGGCTACATGAAACCCTGACTTAAAACAACAAAAAAAAGGCAGAAAACTTGTCATTAAGGGTCTGACTGTGTGCACAGATTTAAATGAGTATAACCCCGTACACAAAAGGTGAGCATCAGACATGAGGCTCTAAATCATGATGTACAAAAAGCATGAACTACTAAAAGCAGTTGGTGCCAGGAGTGGGGTGGCCCATGCCTTTTATCCCAGTACTTGGGAGGCAGAGGCAGGAGAATCACTGTGAGGTTCACGGCCAGTTTGGTCTACATAGTGAGTTCCAGGCCAGCTAGGGCTACAGGGGAGACTCTCTCCACAAAGATTTAAAAAAAAAAAAAAAAAAAAAAAAGGCAGGTGGCATATCTGTACAGTTCTCTAGAAAGTAAAACACCAAATCTCAAGATTATTCAGTTAAATAGTAAATGTGAGGGGCTAGAGAGATGGCTCAGTAGTTAAGAACACTGGCTGCTTTTGCAGAAAACCCAGGTTAGAGTCCCAGCACCCACATGTCAGCTAACATCAGTGTTCACGCAGTTCCAGGGGACTCAATTCCCTCTTCTGGCTTCCTCAGGCATTGTACATACCTAGTGCACTTACATACATTCAGGGAAAACATTCATACACATAAAATAAATACACAAATTTTAAGAATATTAAATGTACACAAAAGTCAACAAAATTCCGCAATTAAATTACATGAAACATTCAATTCTACAGTTCCTATTTAACCTCCTCTGTCTTTGGTGAGCAAGTCTCATGTTACTGAGCTATACCCACAGCCCTGAAAAAATTTCTACAAGGGCTCTTTATAGACACATTATGCTATATCCAATTCCTTTTAAATAACACTGCTGCTTAAGTTTTGGCAGGATATTAACTGAAAATAAAATAAGTTTGACTATTGGAGAATATAACTTGCTTGCAACTATATGCCCCATGAATATCACATCTCCTCCTACTACTGTTTTAGACAGTGTCCCATGATGGAGCTCAGACTGGCCTTGAATTTGCAATCCTCCTGCCTCAGCCTCAAATGTCAGGATTATAGCTGTTTGACATCACTCAACTTTTATATCTGCTTGGTATAATTTTAACACATCATAACATAAAATAAGACAAAGTCAATATTTGACTATAAAAAAGACTGAATGCCCGTTGTGGTACTGCATGCCAGTTGGATATGCTGAAGAAGCAGAGGCATAAGGATCACGAGTTCCAGGCCAGAGTGGCCTACACATTTAGGGGCTAGAGAGATGGCTCAGTGGATAAGAGCACTGACTGCTCTTGCAGAGGACCTAGATTCAATTCCCACCACCCACATGGCCACCAACAATCATCTATATCTCCAGTTCCAGGGGAATCCGATGCCTTCTGACCTCTGAGGGCATTGCATGACATGGGTGCACTTACATACATGCAGGCAATATACTCATACACATATAATAAAAATAATAAAATATCTCTTTAAAAGACTGAATAGTATCAGTATCTTCAGAAATTTCACATTTTGGGTCTCTTAACAACCACAGTTCCCTTCAAGACATTAAATTCTGGGAAAAGTCTACACGTAACCTAGCTTCCTTCAAATTATATAAAGCAAAACAGCAGAAATTCTGAACTATTCCCCTAATTGTTTTATAATTTTTCTTTGCCCAAGAAGTAGCTATGATGTGACACAGATTCTACCCTACTAATCTACCTTCTACTCTGCTCCAGAGAGCAAGGCCCTCCTCTGCTTAGTGTCTCTCACAGGCTGATAAATCCCTACAGTACAGAGACAATGTCAGGCTCCACGAGAGCACATTCATGCCCAGCTCTCAGTTCTTTTCCCTCCGGCCTCAAAGGAACACAGCAGAGAAGCAGCTCGGCTAACCTGGCATAGCACGTCTCTTAGATCTTTAGATCTGGACCTGGGTCTTTCTCAGATTTATCCTTTCTTATCTGTCTTACTGAAAATTTCCTGTTCATTTCTCAAGTCTCCACAAGTATCTTTCCTCTGTGAAGGCTTTCTCATTGCTTCATCACTCAGTGACATCTCATCAGTCTACCCACAACTTTGCACAAATGTTTAATATCACACCAACTATGTGAGGTTACAGTGTTTAATTTATTTTCCATCTCTGTGAGTCTGTTGCTTCTAAAGGGATCAGCTTCGTTTTAGCATGTGACTTGAGCATAATTGTCTAACTTTTTTTTCCAGCTTTATTCTTTTGAGAATTACGAGATAAAGACAATCAATGGAAATTAAAATGAATATCTTAATTCACCTTTACAATTAAATGGTACAATTGTAATCTATGTAATTTCATGATTAGTTTTTCTAAGAACAACCTGGGCCATTAATTCATGTAGTCTCTGTGAGACAGATTTACTTTAGCTCTATCCTGAGCACTTAACAGCCATGAAATGACAGTTAATGTGTATATTTAATTAACATTAAAATAACTGCATGATTATTAAAGTGTTTGCATTTGTAATCCTTAATAATCTTAGCAGTATTCTCGTGACACTCTTTAAAATACTGCTTTAAGTCAAGGTTTAAGATAATATCCAATTTGGGGCTGATGAGATGGCTCAGCAGGTAAATGCACTTGTAGCCAAGTCTGATGCCCTGAGTTTGATTCCTGGGACCCAAGTGGTGGAGAGAACTGACTCCTGAAAGTTGTCCTTTGACCTCCACATAAACACTGTGGACTGTGCATGTGCCCCCCAACAAATAAATAAATGGAAATAATAATTTTAAAAAGCATCAGATTTCAAGTCTCAAAAACACAGACAGACATAGGTATAGCTCAGTAGTAGGGTGCTTGCCTAACATGCACTAAACTCTGGGTTTGATTTCTACTTTTATTTATTATTTTTATTTTATGTGTATGCGTGTATTGCCTGCATGTAGGTAAGTGCACCCATGTCGTGCAATGCCCACAGAGGTCAGAAGAGGCTGTTGGATCCCCTGGGACCAGAGTTACAGACAGTTGTTAGCTGCCATGTGGGTGCTGGGATGCGAACGTGGGTCTTCTGAAAGAACAACCAGTGTTCTTAGTGTTCTTAACCGTTGAACCATCTCTCCAGCCCCTGGGTTTGATTTCTACTACCATACAAACTAAGTGTGTTGGTGCACAATTGTAATCCGAGCACTCAGAAGGTAGAGTCAAGAGGATCAGAAGTTCAAGGTCATCCTTGTCTAAATATCAAGTACAAGAGGGTATAAAATGTGTACATACACTTTCAGAAGTCATAAAACAATAAAAGTTATCATACCCATCTACTCATATGCTGCCTGAGAAATACCATGACGGTTACTTTGAAGCTTCCTTGTGTGTGCTGTCCCGATACCCTAGCCACCATATCTCCTCTTCTGGTAAGCACTGTTTTGGACTTTGTAGTAATCATTTCCTTGACATTATTAGTTCTGCAATTATGTAACGCTGCTTTGTTCAAACATGTTAAAATCCCACAAGGATGTGTGTGTGTGTGTGTGTGTGTGTGTGTGTTCTTCTGCAACTTGCTCCTTTTATTCATTCAGAGTTGTTAAAATTCATCTATGTGAGAAATTGCAATCCATACATGGTTCACGGTTTGATGGTACTTTATTACTTAGTTTGTTTTGTTTCTTCTTCTTCTTCTTCTTTTTTTTTTTTTAAGTCCTGACTGGCCTGGAACTTTCTATGTGGACCAGGCTGGCCTGGAACTCACCGAGATCAACCTACCTCTGCCTCTTGAGTACTGATACAAAAGGCATGTGCCACCACACCCAGCTTTCTGCAGCACACCACTTGGCTAGAGTGAGGGCCTCAGCCCTACATTCTCCTTGAGAACTGTTTTCATCATTCTTGATCTTCTCCACCTCAACTTGAGTTTTAGAGTAACTGTCATTTACACCTGCCCCCATATACAACATGTCAAGATTGCAAAGGGAGCTGATCTATAGATGGCTGTGCAGGAAATTGACATCCTTACACACTGAACATTTCCTTTCTACAAATTCTGTGTGCATAAGCCATCTTTAACATGTTTCAACAGTTCTGAATGCCCCTCTGCAAAGGATCTATGGGTTCCTGATCTTTATGCCTAGTTATTTAATAAAGTTTTGTGCCCAGTAACCCTGCTCTTACTCACTTTTAATGTGATAAAATAACACAAAATTGGTGCTGGGTTCTGGCCTCCCTCTGCCTCCAACTACCAGAGGGCTGAGAACCCAGGGGGAAAGCCTGACAGCCCCCAGATCCTGCCTCCACATGGTGGTCCTTTTAATAAGAATATGCTATACAGCAGTCCCTTCTGCATGAAATAACTACCATCATCACGACTTCGGCTGAGCATCATTGCTAAACATAGTCACAACTGGGCTTTCAGACAGTTGTGCTCATTCATTAAAGGAGTGCCAAGCACGGTCACTGGACCCTCATCTGAGTA